AGAACTGTTCGCTCGCTCGCGGGAAACCATCGTTGACGCGATGAGATATTCAATTTGCGGACGTTGTAGGTCTTCGTTATCGTTAGGTCTTCGTCTGAATGGTTGTAAAATTCGTCGTTAATTAAAACAATTCATTGTAACACAAATATAGACAAAGGTCAGTTGAAAAAAGGCAGATGATCCGTAATCGTTGAAGACTGTTTATAGAGAGAGATTACCGTCGAGCATCGACTTTTTCACGAGGCAGAAAAATATCACCCAAGTCTAAATCATTTACTATTCGACGTCATATCTTAGCACTATCGATAATTATGTGCTTACAAGAGAAAGATTCCACTTACAGTATTTCCTGGCACGCAGAAAGACGTTCTCTTTTTGGGGGGGAAAAAAAGAAAGAAAAAGGAAAAACGAAATTCCCAAAGTTTACATTTGTTTTGTACAAATGTTCTTCGATTGTATAAAATGGAATCATTATTATAAAATATATTTGATAAGATACCAGGGTATCAATCTATAAATTTGGTAAACTATCCGTTGTGTAAAAAAAAAAAATGGTTCAGACAGAAAGCCAATAATTTTGAAGGTGTCATAGTGTAATTTATTTCTTCATGGATGGATACGTGAAAATTACATAAACGTGAAACACGTTCTTTAAAGTAGAATTGTTTAATTTTCATTATTATTAATTCAATTCTTTAGTTTAAAAATTATTGAAAGTCTAGAAGTTTAATACTGATTGAAGAGCATAATATTGGCGTCCTTTAATCTCTAACGGGCGAACGAATTATTTCATCTATGATTGCAAGAGTGTTTTAATACGAACTAAGTATAATTAATTTGATCAGCGAGTTAATTTTGTAGAATTTACTCGTCACAACTACAATCTGATTTGAGACAATTGCTCTATTGTATTTGGGCCATTCTATCGTGCTCTCATGTTGAAAACAAAGAAAGACATTGTCCTTATTCTCTTTCTTATTGTTAGCTTATTTTTTGACACGAATAAGTGTCGATGTAATCGTAAACGTGTTCATTTATTATACAAAAAAAAAAAAAAAAAAAAAAA